CTGCTTGTTGATGAGCAACGGCCACCATGGTGCTGAAGGCCAGTAAGGGATAAGCAAAGTACCATATTCGTTATTGGCATTCATATGGCGCAACACACGAGGGATTAAGTATGGTGGAGGGAAAAGCCAATTGTTCTCACCCACCCAAGAAACGGTGAATGCGTCGGTCGAATCACAACCGGGGTTCATATACTTGCTTGAAAAACGTGGTAGCTGGTTGGTTTTCATACTAGCAAACCGATCATATGTGTGTGGGCCCCAACAATTGTCAATAGATCCAAATACTTTTGGATCTAACTTGTAATCGTCTGGATCATCCAATCTAGATAGGTAGTCCGCATCCTCATTCAAATCTCGACTGACCCACTCAACCGACAAACGAATATTATGTTCTCTACATACTTTGTAGAGCAAGATGGCTTCCTTATGTAGTTCTGGATTTCGACTACCGACTGTCATAATTCTTTCTGCACTTTGGCTGTCTGTCCTATGACGCACTTCCTTTCCCTCCAACTGTGGTGCCATTGACTCTAACACCAATCTCGCACCCCTTAACTCCCGAAACGTAGAGCTTTTTACACTCTCATTCTCCGACCAGCTGCCCACAGCTGTCTGCCCACCCAATTGAACTGCATATCCACCCCATGCCACATCACTGGCATCGGAATATGTCATCACTTCAATGATTGGACATGCAGCCCAAATGGGCTGGCCACTGTTCGAAAAGTTTTCATGCCAAAATAGAATTTCATTTCTACCCTCTTCGGATAAGCGAAATTTCTGATCCCAACTTGTCGACTGTTGTATGGATCTATAGAGTTCTCTAGTCCAGAGACGCACCACAGGACCAAGGGCCAACCCCATTGATGATAGTAAACCAGTAAATTGAGCAAGATGCCGTGCCGAAACCACAAACGAGTTAGTCATAATTTTACTTAAGACGTCCCTAAAAGCCACAACACGCCTGTCCGGGACAGTGAACACACCTGAGGCCAAGTCTATCATGAACCCTAACAGCTCCCCACACTGAACCGGCTCCCACTGACTTTTCTCCTCATTAGCCACGAAACCGCTAGCTTTTATGTCCTGCTGAACCATTAATGATGTTTTCTTTGCATCCTCATAATTTGACTCGGCACCCGCGCCATCGTCCAAGTATGTAAAAATCCTGATACCCTGGCACCTCCAGTGCTTGACTAAGGCTTTCTGGATTTTTGTGAACAAAAATGGCGCACTTGCCAAGCCAAATGGGAGAACCGCAAATTTAAAATATCTTAGTTGTCCGTTAAACCACCATGCGCATCCCAAGAACTTAGTGTGCTCTGGAAAGATGTCTATGTGGTGATAGCCACTTTTGTAATCAAACTTAAAAAACCAATCTCCCCTCGAGAATAAGTCACATGCAGTCCGGATGTCCTCATATTTAAATTTTGTGACACGAAGATGTTTATTTACATATCGAAGATCCAGGATTAACCGTAATTTCCCAGACGAATTCTGAACTACACCGAGGGGGTTGCACACAGTCAGATCAGGCTTCAGTACTTCCACTACAGCCCCTGTTGAAACAAGTTTTTGAAGTTCCTTTGTAACAAAATCCGCATTGTTAGTAGCGGATGAATGATTATTTGAAAATTTTTTCTCTGGTTGCTCAAGAAAGGGCAAACAATATCCATTACGAATAATATCAAGAACCCAACTGCTAGCCGCAATGTTTTCCCAAAAAGTCAGGTTCGACCGTAATCTTCCTTTAACAATAACCGATGAGTGTTCTCGTAAATTATCAACTATTATACTATGTTCATGAAACAGTTCTGCCTCTGTCAAGGAATTTGCCTCAGTTTGAGGAACTATTTTGGTTGGTCGTTGTAGCGCCCGAGATAACAAACCGGGCATTGGCTGAGCGGCACTCTCTGGCAAAGTGTCCTGGCTTCCCACATCGGAAACATGTTGTTCGGTTGTCCCCTGAGGAGGGAAAAACTTGCCTACGTGCTCTAAAGTTGAAGGGGCCCTGCCCTTTGACAACATTGGGAGTTGACTTGTCTGCTCCGAGAAAAGGCTTCTTAATTTTTACATGCGAACTACTCGCCTTTTTCTCATTCCGCAGTGACTTGCTCTCTTTTATCGCCCTCTTAATCCTTTTCTCATCCTCCGAATCGCTAGCTAAGGGCTCAGCCGAATAACATTCTACGGTGTCCCACCCATATTTATCAGCAAGTAAGAGATGCTTGTTTCGTTCCATAAGTAAGCTCTTACCTGCGCTAATTTCCTTCGACACTTCGTCTAGATTATCCGCGGCCAGCGCGCGATCCATTCTTTGCATGACTGAGTGATTGACGTCGTATTGTTTCTTGTTTCCGGCGTAGCGAAACTCGTGCTCGACGGCCCTCGCTGTTGTCGTAGAATCTTCGTTTGGTTTTCCTGTGACCTGCGACTTTAGCTTTTTTAAATCGACTGCATTTTGCCGTTGTTGGCAAAGCAGTTCTTTTGCCCACGCTGGCGGTTCCCTGGACGTCGAGTGCGACCGGCGCGAATGTTTTCCTCGAGTATTCCTTGCCCGAGAACGCGAACGGCTTCGACTCTCTTCCCGTGCACTTTTTCTACCGCTTCGGCGAGAACTACGGCTACGATCTCCTCTCTCACGACCACTAGATTTCGATTTACGCGAACGACTTCTTGATCGTCGGCGATCCTCGCTTTCGCGAACACTGCGCCGAGCACTACCAGCATTTTTATCGGCTGGGCTGTCTTCCGTTGATGAATGGCCCACATGGCCGCGAAAACTTTCCTCGTTATTTGGGCTAATCAGGTGTGCCTCGAGCCGTTTTAAGGCTCTCGACGACCTCTTCGGTAGTTTGTCACGTTTATCCATGGCTTTCGTGAAAGAAAATAGGTTAAATAGCCTCAATAAATTTAAATAAATCGCGAGCGAAAAAATACTGTCAAGCTACGGTGAGCAACAACAAAAATATGCTCATATAACCTGCACCACCCTGTAACACCCTGATTTCATCAGGCCCCCAGCAGTGTGTGAGAAAACATTTTCCGCTTCTTTCGTGCCTCAGCCAGCGGAAAATAACACTTCGCAACAGGCTTGTAGCAAGCTTGTCAACAAGTTGTAACAATGCTGTTATTTTATCAAGTTGCTACAAGGTTGTCACTCACAACTTGTTGACAAATTGTTGAATTGCAGGACGATAACAAGTTGTTGGAACAACTTGTAACAAGTCTGATCAGCTCAACAACCTTGTAGCAAGTTGTCAACGAGCCGTAGACAACTTGTCAACAAGCTGGGAACAAACAGTGCAAACAAATCCTGTTGACAAGTTGTTGGAACCATTGAACTATAAATAAACTGGAAGGCTAACTGCTATGATGAAGGCCTATGATTTGATGAAGCCAAAATAGTTTTTCTGAGTTATGAGCAGAAATACTTGACCCCAAACGTCGGGCAATATATCAAATTGAAGCTATTGAAAATTGCTATTCGGTGTGGAAATTTCAAGACTTCAGCGAAAAGAAAAATATTTAAAAAATACAAAAACAACTGCAAAACGGCAAATTATCGGTAATTATGTTTGTAGTTTTTCAATATTTCCCTTTTAGCTAAAGTCTTGAAATTTCTACATCAAATAGCGTTTTTCAATAGC